CGCTACGAATGTTTCGAAGCATTTGATTAACCAATCAGAAGAAAGAATTTCACTCATTAACTAATCAAAAAATGCTTCGAAGCATTCGTAGCGGCAACTCGACCGCACCCTAAAAGAGTCGAAAATCGAGATTTCCCGCAAAATTCGGGACGGTTGGCCACCCTAGTTACTACCTTACCTAACCCCTAACCCTAACCTCTTTGGCTTTCAATACAAGATTTTAGTTTTTTGAAAGAATCTTTGACTATATCTTTTATAAGATAAACTCAAAAATTGAGAGTAAAAATAGCTGATGTTTTTTTCTGTTTGCTGCAACAATTCAAAAGTCAAAAATTTGCCCAAAAAGCTGGAATCTCCAACCGAAAACCGAAGAGCCGTGATTCACATATGTGTAGTTATTTCTGTGTATTTATATTTTATATATTTGTAAATTTATTGTTGTCTTGTTAAATTTATTTTCAGTTGATTAGTTCAATAAATATATTTCAAATGTATATAATTTTATTGTGTTTAATTATGCTAATATAAACTTTATTTTTCTAGATGAAAGCTTTAAAAATAAATATTTTGAACAAAATTCTTTGTCTCTAGAAATTACAAGCATTAATGATATGCCCTCAACATCAGGAGAAGATATGTATACAAATTTATAGTAATGTACAAAAAAAAAAAGATTGGATAATTTTTTTTAACAGAATAAAGTTAGAATTGAAAGTCTTGAAAATTTAACTTAGTTAAAATACAAGTTAATCCACAATGAAATTAATTGAATTAAAAATTAATTAATGTAAAATTAATTTTACATATTCTAAAAATTAATTTATTATTCCAAAATATTCATTTCAGGATAAATGGAAAATTTCTTACAAGAGACGTCCTATGAGACATCTCAAGGTATATATATTTTACATTTATATATTGTATGTTATACAATATGTATATATATGCATGCGCGCGCGCACGCACGCGCGCACGCACGCACGCACGCGCGCACTCACTTAAAGGTACTCAGGTAGTGTTTTCATGTAATCTTATTCTTTAAAAGATATAAAAGTATAAACATTATAAAATTTAGGTTAAATAATATTAATGTAATCTTAGATTAAGAAGTACGTGTAAAACAGAATGAACAAATTTCCTGAATACTTTAAGGGCCTGTGTATAAGAAATACCAGGTACAAAGGTAAATATTATGATTTTAATCTGTCATATTAGAAATCATATGTTCAGGTGTTATCAATTTCTGATAGATTGAAATTTTTATATTTATCCCCCCCCTCCTGTTTCAAATATTTCTTTCATTATACATAGACCCTAAGGTAGAGAAAAATAGCATCAGATAGACAAAGTATTAAAAAAAATCTGTTTACACTCACTTATTATTAATGTAAAGTATGTTGTAATATAATGTAAAGAGCGTTCTACAATGAGTTATAAACATCTCGTTGTCAATCGCAAAGCTTCACAGCTAATTGGGAATCCTTTGTGACTGGCAACGGGATGTTTGCAACTTATTGTAGATTGTTCTTAATTTTAATTTTACATGTTTTCTAATTTTATGTTTTAAAAAATAAGATTGCATTTGGAAACACTACCCGAGTGCTCCAAGTATCAATTTATCTTTGTTTAATATTTGATGAAAGACAAAGATATAATGATACTTAGAGGCATTTGGATATTTCCAAACGTAGCTTAAGTTAATTTATCTTGATTTGCAGGAATACCAAATACTTTTATTTGGACACGTGAAGCTACTAAATATTTTTTACATAAATATGCAGAAAGAAAAGATGAGAGAAGAGAGAAAACGATAGAGAGAAGAGAGATAGAAAGAGAACAGCAAGATACATTATTATCTACAACAGAAACTTTGATTTCATCCATACCAGTTTCAATTAATGAAATTCCTTCCATTTCTGAAATTCCATCCATTCCTGGATCCTCGAAGTGTGACAAAAATGAATGTTTACAACAATCTTTTAAAATGTTAATAAATAAAAACACTATTTACCGTTTGGTTTTATATAAATAAGATGTTGATATGGTTTAGGAAATAAGATTTTATATAAAATCTTATTCCTAAACCATATCAACAATTCAAACATTAATTATTTTCACGAAGATTTTATTCAACATGTTCTACTTTGTTATAATCCTTGTTCTCAATCCTCTGCTCAAAGCGAAAATAACGAACAGAATAAAAATGAAAAACAAAAGACTCGAAGATCGAAACAACTGTACGAATTAAGGAAGGTGCAAATTGAGAGTGAGAAGGAAAGAATAGAAGCGATAAATAAACTAACAGCTGCTATTGCAGAAAGTAACGAAATAGAAAGGCAAAAAGCAGATGCTATAAAAGAAAATAACATTATAGAAGGCCAAAAAATAGCTGCTATTCAAGAATACAATAATTTACAAAAAGAAATAAATTATTTGAAATGTTAGTAAACTCAGCGAAAAATTAATTTGATAATATATAATAAGAGTTAATAATAACAGGTAAACTATAAAATATATAATAATTAATATAATATCGTTGCGAAAGTAAGAAATTAAATACAGTAACAGTAAGTACGTAACAGTGATATCAAAAAGCATTTTTTTTTCGTGCAAATCGACAAACAATAATTTCTAAGCTAATTTTTGTATCTTTCTCAGACTACCATAATAAGCAAAATTTAAATGCTAAGGTATTAGGATCAAACGCACCGTTGATTATTTTTGAGTCAAAAGAAAAGACTGATTCGTTGCTTCACCATATGTGAACATTATATAAAAGATTAAAATGTACTCAAATTACTAAAAGTATTAAGTAGTATATAAGTTAGTAGGTAAGTTACTTATAAGTAATAATAATATAAAATAAGTGACTAATTTAATAAGTTATTTACACGTTATTTTCATTAGTAAGTGACTGCAAAAATTATAATTTTGACAGTTTCTGTTTATATAATTGTCATAATATAAATGTTTTTGTGTTCTTTAATATAAGATACACATTTTGTTATTATAACTCATCAGTTTTTCACAGTTTTATATTATAAAATATCTTCAATAAAAAAAATGATATTAAATTTAAAATTTCGAACATTTTAACTGTTTCTTGATGATATTTGGATGGTGAAGTCAATGCAGATTAGCGCATCACATGGCATACATGCATGCCTATTCACATGCCAATTCATTATACTTCTCCCTGTGTCGGTTTTGTATATTCTGGCTATCTCTGGTACCAATGGATCATCTGAATTTGAATCACACAGCAAGGACTATATTGGCGATAACCTATAAAATAATCAATAATATTAAAAAACTAATGACAAAATATATTTTTCCAAATGCATGAAACACATACCTTTTGATATGAGTGTTAGAGACTACTAAGATTACTCGTAAAATATCCAAACAAATACTTCCATATTGTTGATAAGTCATCTAGTCACGAATGTCACTTATATCACTTATATAACTTATACATATATACATATATTATCTGTAAATATAACTTATTACTGTAAATAAATCAATTGTGAATATAATTTACTTTTTAAAGCTTATATACATAAAGGCTGCTTAACTTTTTTGTCTTGAAGATATATGGTATATTTATATTCACAAAAAATCCAATTTTTAAACATACGTTTTAATAATTATAACTGATTTGTAATATATAATATATGCGCTTTTGTACAGCCTCTTGTACTTCTTCTTCTTCTTGTTCTATTTCATGTAAATTTTGCTCTTCTAAATAATCTTCATCATCTATATTCAAATTATCACCATCTATTATAAAATTATGTAATGTACATGCAGCTGCAATCATTTTGTTTCCTAGATCAAAATCTGAGATGTCAAGGTATTTGAGTTTTCTAAATTTTCCTTTCAACAGCGCAAACGATCTTTCAATCCTTGAACGAATGCAACTTAATTTCGTATTATATCGTATTTGTGAGACTGTTAGATGACCATTGTCCTTATATGGTGTCATCAGATTTATCATCAGTGGATATGCTGAATCGCCTATCAAGTACAGCTGTCGTGGTATAAAACGTAACTTTGCATTCGACATATTTTCAAATAATGGACTTTGCCTGAATACTCTTGCATCATGCATTCTACCTGGCAAACCAATAAAGCAATCTATAAATTTTCCCCTATGATCGCATACCCCTAAAAATGCGAAAATAAGCGTATTAAATATTACACAGCAGTCAATATATTTGAACACAACATTTTATTTACCTTGTAATATAATGGAATGAAACCTTTTGCGATTATAATAATGTGGATTTCTTATTAGCTGTTTACATGGGACGTGGCAACCATCAATTGCATCTATAACCCCTTGGAAACCACGCGAACGATTCCCAAAAATCTGAAATGATTAAATAAATAACAAATTTAATATTTAAATTTTAATAAATTTGATATAAAACATTTTTAAGAAATATTTTACATTGCTGGATATTTGACATTCGTTGGCATCTGGCCATTTAACATAGAGAGACATTAAATCTGACAAGATAGTTATAACACTTTTAAAAATATTGTGACTACTAGATTTTGCTAAACCAAATCTTTCACCTGTAGCTAAAAAACTTTCTTGTTTGGCCAAAACCCATATTGTAAATAGTAATTTCTTTGATGGGCTTACATCTACATATTCTTCCGGATTTAGTAAAGGTGCTACTACGTTTAATAATGCCTTAAATTAAATTAATTACAATTAAGTATCAATTAATAATGTAACATAATATTATAAAATATGTAATAATATATTTTTATTCCTACATTTCTATATTTTATAATTACCTCAAATGTAACTCGCGACATACGAAAGTGTTCTAGAAATTGTATGCATATCTCGGAATAGTCTTCAAAATATAATAATTTTTATTTTTTGGTCTTTCATTACATCATGCGATTATTTCATTTTCTGGCAAGGGATTGACCATATCATTTATAATAAAATTAAGCATGCCAATATTAATTCCATTATTAAGCACTGCGATATTCAGTCTATTATTAAACATATCAATATTTAAGTCGCTATTGCAAATAATATTGCATCCATGTTTCCTGCTGTCAATAGAAGATTAAAAAAAATATATATATATAATATTAAGAGCTAACTTGATTCATCAGCCTATTCCTATTTCTTACCTTCTACTGTCTATCCAAAATTCTTTTCTATATTGTATTAGCATATATGCATGCATTTACTAAAATGCGACTGACTGATATTAGTCCACAGGATTTCTGTGTCCTTCGACTTAGAGGTACGCTCAGCAAATTTTTATATTTTCTAAAGAATAAGTAAGCTTGTGTAAATGCTACGCAATATAATTAATATCAAGATTTATAACAAGCAATAACAGTTCAATTATAAGATACAATTCATTTTAATTAAAGTTACATTAGATTTCAAATGTTTCAACTTACAAAGCCTTCATCAGATTAGTAATTTTCTATCCTGCTACAAAATCCTCAAACAAACTAATTGAACATGAACAAATTTAATATCCCGTTCTTAAGTCATAAAAATATACGTATAATCCTGATTCTACGAGTCGATAGTCGATAGTCCTAAGTCTTATCAGTAAATCGGTGAAGTTGGCCAACAGCCAAACAATACAACTTGTATGATTAAGACTACCGATTTTCTTAAGATTTACCAAATTCGACTTTATTGCTTCCCATTAATCAAGCTAAACAACTTTCTATACATTGGCTGCGTTCAGCAGAACGTTTGTTTTGCAACTGTTGGAAGTTTCCTTCGCGCTGATTGGATCATACTTTTAGATCTAGAAGAATGGTCCTATCTCAGCAGACAATCATAAAACGGTTGCAAAACTGTTGAGTCTGCTGAACGCAACCATAGTCGTCAATTTTCAGCTTCTAACTTGATTTATAACTAAAGCCCATGGCACATAAGGCCATCACATGTACAAAAATTTTAGTCGTAATCGTAAAGCCTTGTGTCCACGATGCTAGAAATTGGTCCGAGATCTCGGAGAGAGAAAGAATTAACCAATCAAGCTCAGCAGAACACTCAACATGTAACTCATCAGTAAACCGTTGTACATTGGGTGCGTTCAGCAGAACGTTT